CATTGATTGAAGTATGGGGGGGGGGGCACGATTGTTTCAGCGTGGTACTAAATCATTACTAAAATCACTACTAAATCACTACTAAAATGTAGGGTTGGTATTGCTGGACTATGAGAGAGCGACAGCAAAACTCTTTCGGGATATTGACAAAAAAGCTACAATCGGGAATGACACACGAGTGTGCTGCCAGGGAAAAATATACGTGTGAATTTCATTAGGATTTTCCATGGATTACCGTTCTATAATCCTACGGGTCGTTGGTCCTACGGGTCTACGTAGGCACGCCCGCACGCACGCGCGCAGGCACGCACGCGCGCAGGCACGCACGCACGCGCACACATGCACGCGCGCAGGAACACACGCAAGCACGCCCGCAGGCACACAGGCACGCACGCATGCACGCACGCACGCACGCGCGCAGGCACACACGCAAGCAGGCCCGCAGGCACACACGCAAGCACGCGCACAGGCACACACGTATATATACGCGCGGGCGGCGGCGCGCTTGATTGAATGCAATACAGTACAGTACACACATGCATGCTTAATGATAAACACTTGACAGCCACACCGTACCAGGAATTCTACCGCACCGTGGAACCGGCTGCCGCTAGCGGCAGAGGCCGAGCGAGATCGGCAAGGCGCGGGACCGACCTGGACAATCGATTTCCAGGGCGACTTTTGCTTTTGGGGTCGCCCCCGATATCATGTTTTCGGGGGCTCTTTTTGGCATTTCGGGGGCGAAATCGCCCGCCGCCCCCGTGTATTTTTTCCCCTGGTGTGATGGCTATCGCCGATCATCCCCCCCACTCCTCGGTACGGATTTACGCCCCTGGCAAGAGGGAATGCCAACCTTTACCTAACAATAATAAATTTCATGAAAGGTTATAAGTTTAGCATATACAGTGGATATAAGAGGATGCCATAAAGTTGAGTTAAAACAACCTCAGAACTCAGGGGTAGAATTTAACGTTTGAAACCACTCGCAATTTTTTTGCGAGTGGGTCAAATTTCAACTCGCAAAATCCGAAACACTCGCATTTTTAATATAATTATCTTTGTAGTAGTGTATAATATGCTAACACTTCAATAAAAAACGTTATCTTTTTAGTTACTTTATAAATGTTATATAATGTTGAGACGACTATATTAAACCAGGATACAAAGCATGAAGATAGAATACTCTCGGTAGCGGCCGATCACGCAAGGTTTATAATCCTTACTCAGTTTGTAGACAGTACGTGTTTATAATTTTGCAGAAATTTGTTGGTCTAGTTCTGTTATGACTTATGTTGACAACTTGTTACTTTTAAAATGCCTGGATATGTGATGTTGGATTTTGATAGTCATCACAACGGATTATGTCACTCGCACAAAAATGCAAGTGCTTATCATTTCTACTTGCAATTTCGGAAATCCACTCGCATTTTGCGAGTGTGTGAGCGTTAATTTCGAACCCTGGAACTATCATGATAATTTTTACTTTTACTTTTTAGTGAAGTGGGACTTAGGGCCCAAGGATAGAGAACATGTATCCCAATAAAACCAATGTGCCTAACCCTAACCCTAACCCTAATTCTAACCCTAACCATAACCCTAACCTATTATATTGATATAATATTATATTTATATTGATGTAAATGACATTGGTTTTATTGGGATACATGTTCTCTATCCTTGAACCGGACTTAGTACCTACATTACACATTTACACTTTAATATACAGTAATTGGATGACACACACCACCCTTAATACGGTTGTAACCAAAATAATAATATAGCTCGCTAGTTTTCTATCTATCCGCTGTGCCGATATAATTAAACATTAATGATTGCTATGTAACATTTTCAGCATTTAACATGAGTCAATTCCTCACATGCCCAACCCCGGCGGAGATCCATAATTCCATTCATTTTGTTCCAAATAATTCACCGAGTGAAAACTTAATAGTCTAACAATAGGTTTTATCATTTACAACTAGGTAATCATATTTGCACGATGCACAACCCGCATATCTTCAATGTGTAGTATAGTATACAAATAATAATTTAGCTACAACCGGAGGCATTTCAATTATTTTCAAAGAACTAGAAGATTCTCATGCTTACCGCCATGTTTGCCTTCGCGATGAGTCACGTCTCGCGAGAAAACCTAGTGGGCTGCAGTGGCCCGTGTACAAAAGAGCATCCACAACACTCGCCGTGGGTTTATAAGTCGTCACGGCTTCATTCATTCATTTAGTTCATCTAACATTAAAATTAGGTCTGCTTTGATGTGAGAGTAATGTGTGTTAATGTTAATGAGCAAGCTTAATGGTAACATGCAATATTTAAACGTGAAAGTGTTTGTTATATCTGCATTTGATTGTTCTGCAAAGAGCTGATTAATAACTTCTAAGTCTAGACCGTAGGCTAGACCGCACAGGCACTTCACAGTTCACTGTATTCAGCCACTTCACTTGACTTGCCACTTGGAACGTCTCAAAAAAAAAAAAATGTTGACACGAAATGTATGGCCCAAGGATAGAGAACATGGGTCCCAATAAAACCAATATGCCTATAAAACCTAACCCTAACCCTAATTCTAACCCTAACCCTAATCCTAACCCTAACCATAACCCTAACCAATTATATTGATATAATATTATATTTATATTGATGTAAATGACATTGGTTTTATTAGGACCCATGTTCTCTATCCTTGAACCGACCGAATGGCGAATAATTCTGTCCCATATAACCTTTTTTATATTTTGGTGTTGGTTATTGGGACAGAACGGGGCTCATTGAACTTTCGTGAGATCGCATGCAAAATGCATGCCCTGCGAATGCGGCCCATACGCCGCTATTGGCGCAAAAAAAAAACTACCGTTCCCTTCTACATGGCTTTACCTTGCTACTGATATGTGTATACATTCACATCAATCGTTATTCACTTCTTAAAAGATTGTTTTTCATAAACCCCGCTTCGTTCCACTTTCCTAAATTACATGGCCATTTACAAACAATCAGACCAATCAGAGCGAGTCTATCAGGCCTCCTGCAGCGCCACAGATACAAGCGAGAACCAGGCTATTGTAAGACTCGCTCTGATTGGTCTGATTGTTTGTAAATGGCGATGTAGTTTAGGAAAGGGGAACGAAGCGGGGTTTATGAAAAACAATCTTTTAAGAAGTGAATAACGATTGAAGTGAATGTATACACATATCAGTAGCAAGGTAAAGCCATGTAGAAGGGAACGGTAGGTTTTTTTTTCACGCCAATAGCGACGTACGGGCCGCATTCGCAGCGCATGCATTTTGCATGCGATCTCACGAAATTTCAATGAGCCTTGTTCTGTCCCAATAACCAACACCAAAATATAAAAAAGGTTATATGGGACAGAATTATTTGGTCTAACCATAACCCTAACCTATTATATTGATATTGATGTAAATGACATTGGTTTTATGGGGACCCATGTTCTCTATTCTTGAACCAAAGTCTTAAAGGGACAGTAGCCTCTAGGATTTTACTGCATACAACTGTACTTACTGTATAACAAATCGTCTATACCCACATGTATTTGTCACCAGATACTTAATTAATTATTTACACATCAACGCTACGAAATTTGAACGGCGCCATGACACCCGCGACCGTGCTGCCACCCTGAAAAAGTTGCGTATTTGCATTTTTATTTTGCAGGTAAATGACCGAGGGCTAATCACAAAAGTGCAATTATATTTATACCTAAATGCTATTTAACCGAACGATATTCATTTTAGGGCAAATTTATCCATATTATAACTGAAACTATATGTCGTTTATAAGATATTACAATCCTTTTGCTTTTAAATGAATAAATAAGAAATACCCTCGGTCTGTAGCCCTTGGCTGGAAAGTGGTTTTGCGCAACTTCTCAGATCGTGCGCTTTGAGTGGCGCCACCGTCGTTGTAATCAAACTGTAGTCGTTAGTTTTAAAACATTTTTTTTAAATATTTCTAATGGTGATTGAACCATGAAACTTTTTATGTAGCGCAATTATAACCTAAATTAGCTGAAAATAACCCTAGAACCTAGAGGCTACTGTTCCTTTAATGTTTCTCTACTCTATTTTGCCTATTATTGCCGATAATTACCCGTAAATGCGGGTCAAATGCTCATCCGCAACGGCCCAAGGATAGAGAACATGGGTCCCAATAAAACCAATGTGCCTAACCCAAACCCTAACCCTATTCCTAACAATAACCCTAACCATAACCCTAACCTATTATATTGATATAATATTATATTTATATTGATGTAAATGACATTGGTTTTATTGGGACCCATGTTCTCTATCCTTGAACCTACACAAGTACACCGCACGCCCGCCCTGTGCACAAACAACATGAATAAGAGAGTATCATATTTATGTTCTCTTCATATTCATGTCCTCAGAGTCTCTTACTGCGTGCGGTGTACATGTGTGTTGCAGATGAGCATTTGACCGGCATTTACGGGTAATTATCGGCAATAATAGCCGACATAGAGTAGAGAAACATTAAGAATTTGGTAGTAAATACATTTCGTGTTTACATTTTTTTTTTTTATTGAGACGTTCCAAGTGTCTTGTGGTAGACGACCTGAACCTGGTGCCGGTGTGGCTGTGTGGTATCGCTATATATACTAATAATACTATAGTATATAGGCTTGCCTAGCGTATAGCCCTTGACAATATCAAAGAGGGTATCTGTGGTGTGAACATATAATGATCATGAAACACGTCAACCTAGTCTTGCTCTCTTATCACTATTGCCATGCCACTGTCACGAGAAATATATGCAGTGCAATAGGCAGTTGTGTTTTTAATTGTACATATATGCTGTAACATCGCGAGGTTGTGCTGTGTTACTCATGGTAGCAATTAGTGACAACACCGTGGAATACCGATATACACACTAACATGTAATTACATGAGTGTGTAAATTAAGGTGCTTTGTTAAACCATTGACTTCAGGATAAATTATTTATCTGGTGAGGCCAAATTAAGGTGATTGTTTAAATGTCGTGGCTACGCGTCTGGTTACCGGACGCCTAGCTCCCAGGCTACACGTCCGGTCATCCATTTCTTACGTGAACCCAACTATATTTTCTTTCAGTAAAAAACACTATACAATAATTTTTTACCATATTATTACTTATGTTTAGGTATTTTATCCAAAAAATGTGTTTTCGTAACTTTTTTTTTCAAGATTTAAGATATTTATTTGTGCATAAGTCGTGTATATACAATTTACAGTGGCAAATAGGAAATATACATGTCATAGTTAATATCTAGTTTACGAAGGAAACACAGGAGTGTGAAAGAACCCGCAGGTAAATGTCTTTAAAACAATAGTAAATCCAGTAAAATCAACGATTTGAAAAGGGGCGTGGCCTTTAATCGTGACGTAGATTTGGGGCCTCACCATGAAATACAGTGATACACGTTATGCACCGGTACGGTTTTTGTTGTGCAGTTTAATAAATGTTAGATGTCTGTACAAAATTGACAACAAACAACGCAACGCACGCGTTTCCATGCAGCAATTTGTTGCTAACGCCTGATGATCTTGTCTGAAATGGATGTCCGGACGCGTAGCTTGGAAGCTGGGCGTCCGTTAACCGGACGCGTAGCCACTGTGTTGTTAAAATTGTAGCATCACATGTGTGTGTACATGTAATCAGCTATGTGCGCAATTTTCTATTTTTTACTGCTACAGATTCCAGTTGTTGTGTGAGCATCTGCTGGCACTGTGACTTTAACGTCAATAACGATGCTGGTGTTTGCTCTAACACTAGTCAGACAGTAAGTGCATCTGTGCATAAAACACATTTATCTAGTTTATTTCGAGGTTTCTCCTTAAAAGGACATGTGAGTGCATGTGTGTATGTTTGTGGATATGCACTTGCGTGTCCTGCATAAATGAATTGCAGACGTTATATAATATATAAAATTATGTAAAATGCTCAGTGCTTGTCAACTATGGAAACTTGCATTTTCAGCATACATGTTATTTCACATTTTCCTAATCTTTTTCGGAAACAATTTTGTTGCAGTGGAGAGACCGTCGCAAATAAAGACAGTATAATTCAAGGTATGTACCATCTTGAGGTACCTATAAACGTAACTCTGTTTATTTTCATGTTATACTTATATTAGATTAGCGAGTTCAAAATAGTACTGGAACTTGACCGAAAAGGTTTGGTTTCATTATATTATTAAATTGTTTTGTCCTATTACCATAATTACAAAGTAGCCAATGATTCACACATGCACACGCGCACACACACGCACGTGTGCACAAACTCATGCACACGCACACCCACACACATGCATACACACTGTAATAACTCATAATTATATATACATATACATATTAAATTTGTTTTATTATATCATATCCACAGACATTTATTATATAGCAAGAACTCTCTTGTGTTTATAATGTCGCTGCTTGTTTGTTCTTCTCTTCTTTGCCAATAAAGGACAATCGAACAGTCCTCTCTCAGAGCTGGGGCTGAATCAGGCTAAGCTAGTTGCTGAGAGGTTGAAAGATCAGGAGTTCACACATGTCCACAGCAGTGATCTTACACGTGCCACCCAGGTAACGTGTGCGAACATAACTACTGTTACTAACAATACAGGAATAATTAGTTATTTTCTGTCACATTATGTGCCAGTCCAATAATGCTATGTAAACACTGGCCGCTCGCCAGAGTATCCAGTAATCCGATTTTAATTCAAAATTATGGGGGAAAACTTAAAGATTTAATGTACAATGTTTGGTTATGAAATGAAATCGCGTTGGCTTCTCGCTTCAGACTGCCGAAGCCATCCTGACAGCAAACCCGCTGACGACGTGTAGCATCGTGAAGGATGCACGTCTGCGAGAGAGAAAATTTGGCAACATTGAGGGCAAGAGCTTCAAAGAGCTGAAGGTGGCTGCGCAGAGAGCTCAGCTGCCCATCCATGAATACATCCCGGAAGGAGCGGAGACCGTGCAGCAGGTAGGTGGCCGGTGATGGGTAGTCCACGGCGTGTTATTGTTGATCACCTAAGTGTGATCGCCCAAAAACTAACTGGTTCTGGACGTACAGCCACTTTGAGCACTTTTTCCGTTGCGCTGTGCAGGCAACGGAAACGTCTATTGTCCTTTCTGAAATCTGAGTGAATCGTGAAGTCACTAGACCATGCGCTGAAAGTCAGACAACATGTTACGGAAACCGTTGTCGACCAAATCCCACTTCGGTAAAGCCGTCTTCACCTCCCTTTACCGTCACATTTTTGCAGATGAGGGAGCGTGCGGTAGAATTTTTCCGCAGTCTGTGCCAAAGCATTGTCGCGAGCGCGTTGAGCAAGGACAGCTCAGCAGAGGGCAGCACCGCGTCGGACAGCTTCAAGCGCCAGCACTCGGGGAGCTGCTGCGAACAGGAGTGGTCCCCACCGGGCATCGAACGCTCGCGAACAGAAAAGAAACGCTCGCGAACCGATGATAGCTGTGATCTAGACAATTGGCCGCAGCAGCAGCAGCAGCGGTGCGCGAGTCCGAGCAACCGCGGGGGCGAGCGCCCCCTGGCGGCGGCCGAACAGAAGAACTGCGCCGTGGCGGCCGAACAGAAGAACTGCGCCGTGGCGGCGAGCGCGAACCACGTCAGCACGAGCAACCATGGCAACGAGAACGCGCACAGTTCCGTAACAACCGGCAGAACGGCGTACGCGTTCCAAGCCTCGACGTCGGTGCGAGACGGCGCCCGCACGGCGACGGCGGCGCCATCTACGTGCGTCTTCACGCTCGACGACAGCGGCGACGAGACGGCGGCGGCGCCGGAGTCGCACCTCGTGCGCACGTGCGAGAACCTGACGCTGTGCGTGACGGACGCGCAGCAGTCGTCACCGCTGCTCGCCAGGATAGTGGCGCCCTCGCGATCGCCAGCGACGAGCCTGTCGCAGATGAACGCGTGTCCGAACGTGTCGCTGTTTTCCGAGGGGAATGCGTAAGTGTTGCGCGCGGCTCGCTCTGATGCGCGCGGAGGCTCCCGGGGTGCCCGGTAGTCGCATGACCTAGCCGTCGAAGTTCTACGAGACGTCCGCTGTCCGGAACTCGTTTCTAGAAACGTCACTAGTCTAATATAATATATTCTAATGATAACTACTGTATACGCTGTATATTTCGCAGCGGTTTAATTTTTGCGAATTTCAAGAAAGCGTCCCCGACCGCGAAAATAACAACACACAAATAATTCATACCGAATAATTCATAATTCACCGACCGCGAAATTAACCACTCGCGAAATTGACCGGTAAGTCTGAATTCGCAAAAATATCTGTACGCGAAAAATATGGCGTATACAGTAGTTTAAGTTGTCTACGAGTCTAATTTGTCATACTTTTTGGAGTGAACTATGGTGCACAGGCTATAAGTCTGTAGTGTATATCATTAACTTGTGTAAAGGAAATGATTGGCACTCAGTGATTTCATGTCAGCACATGGCACCTGTGCCTACATGTCAGTGCATTATGGACAAGCTTTCTCATTCCTACGTCTTGGCCATGCTTATAGCATTGCCCCAGCATATCGCTGCCCCGTGATTATAATCTTCATGTCAGCACACGTTACTTGTGCTTACATTTTAGTGCATTATTGGCGTGCTTACACATTTTTCCTGTCATGGCCATGCTTAGATGTCAGTATATCACAGCCTGTGATTACAATTCACATGGCAGGACATTCCCTGTGCTTACGTCAGTGTGTCATGGCCATGCCTGCATTCTCCTACTCTAATCTTCAAATTTAAACGGCAATAGGTTTAGTCTGCGATGAGAGAACAATCATTTCTCTCAATACTGCATTTACCAATGTTGCTGTCGGTATGCACACTGAAACTGAGAATTAGACATTTTAAATGAAATGTGTTTTTGATCGCACACCTCTAAAAGCTGCCTGGCCCACTAGATTTTTTCATAATTTATTTTAACCAATTTGGACAAGAGCACCCTCGCCTACAGTGTTTCATGCTGTTCAGCTTGTTCCTCATCTAATTCCTGCATATAAAAACCATCAGAAATCCATCTAACTAGCAGGGGTGCACCGCGCCAGATTGTAGGAGCTAATGGGTACACTTATCCTTTAGCAGGATATATTTATAAATCTAGACCATTCTCAGGGATTTTTTAAGGTCAGCATACCATTACATTGCACCGTGTCTCGCGCATCTATACCAGATTTCTCACATTCCCTGGTACATGCTGTCACCCCTGGACGCGCTAGGATACTAAGGAAACATCTCATTCTTGAAAGATGTATCGACGTTCCCAACTGTTACAACACTAGCCCGATCTATGCAGTAACTTAATGTAGTAAAATCGCTACTGTTATTTATTGTTGTTTATTTATTGCAATTTACAAAGGTGGCGAATGCCAGTGGTAGCCCTGTGATCTATGCCAACACTCTCTCGCTCCCCCCCCCCTCCTCTCCTTCCCTCCCTCCCTCTCTCTCATTCGTTCTCTTCTCTTCTCTTTGTTTCTTTTCTTAACTCGTTCTCTCTCTCGCGTCCGCAGCATTCACCGAGTCTCCAGCTGCGACTCGAACTCGATCGACGACTACGACATTCCCCAGCTGGCGGCCAACGTCCTCGTCACCTCGCACGGCGGCTTCCTGCGCGAATTCATACGCCACCTGGTGGACGCGCTGCGCTGCGAGTGTCCGGGCGGGCGGCGCGCCGCACTGCGCACGAGCCCCAATACCGGGATCAGCAAGTTCGTCGTGAGCATGGCGCGCGACGGGCTGCCGTCGCATGCCACCTGCGTGACGCTGCACGACAAGGAGCATCTGACGACGGCCGGTGTCAGCTACACGAACAGCGTGTTCGCCGTGTGAATCGCGTGTTTTTTCCGCGCGTGAGTCGCGTGTTCTGGTTTTGCGGGGCACGTGCTTAAGAGTGTGAGCCACGTGTTCTTGTCGTGTGAGTCGCGTGTTTCCGCGTGAGTCACGTGTTCTCGTCGTGTAAGTCACGTGTTTTGCGCGTGGGTCACGTGTTCTCATCGTGTGAGCCATGTGTTTACAGTGTGGGTCACGTGTTTACTATGTGAATCACGTGTTCTCATCGTGTGAGACTGTGAGTCACATCTTTACAGTGTGAGCCACGCGTTTACAGTGTCGGCCACATATTTACAGTGTGAGCATTGTGTTCTCACTGTGACCTTGGGGGTTTACTAGGTGAGTACCATAGGTATTCCATCTGTTTCCCATGTGAGCTGCCTGGTTCGGATGTTCATTGTGAGCCATGTGTTCACTGCGTGGCCTGCATTCGTGCATTTTTCTATGATGCGATGTGTACATGAAGTTCGTTGGGATGGTTCAGACATTTATTTACGGCCATTTACATATTGGTACCGCTGCTCGGTGAATAATTCCATAAAGCAGCGAGAGTGAAGCTACCTACATGTATGGCACTACCAGCACTACCAGTTGTTGTACTGGGTGAAATTGCTTGCATAGAGTTACCATAACTTAGTACTTTTGTACTGTGGGGAAGTACAGCTATGTACATAGTGTTACTGTCGTTTGATGAGTGTTGAATGTGTGTAAGGTGCATAGTTTGTACCAGTTCATAGTGCATTTATAATTATATGAGGTGAAAGTGCAGCTCTCTACCTATTGATTAGTGTGAGAAGAGTGCTCACCAATTACAATAACTGTAAACAGCATGGTTCCGCATACTGCATGCCAGCACCAGGTTGCTGTGTCCTACAGTATACCAACACGTACCTACAAAGTGTTTTGTGAGTAGCAATGTTAGCCTTAACCCTCAAAATGAGAAGTCGGCCGACCCTTAGAAATCTTACTGCTTCTAACAGTAATTATGTGTATAAAAGCAGTCGTCGTTAAAGCTGTAGTAGTGGTTGTTATTTTGCCATTATTCCAAACCAGACAGTGCCGTTTCCTCGAAACAAGCAATGTATAGTTATCAAACAGGTTTGATGCAATTCTGTCCAGCATATAGCGTCGGCTGTGATTTTATTTGTTAAACTTTTGAAGTTTAAGCTGAACTTGAGACGATAAGAGATGTTTATAATATTAGGTTTAATTTGCTTGTGAATCTCATCAGTGCGCACGTCACAACGATCACACTGTTTCGCATCGATTATCAATAACAAATGTATGCGACAGAAGTTACGTCGACTTAAATTAATTGTTCGAAATGAGCGCAAGTGTTCTGTTAATAAAATTTCCCATAATACATGTAAGCTGTTATTTGTTGCACTGTCTAATCTAAAACCTTTTTATATGGCATGCAGTGCCTAGCGAGGAAGTACAAATGTTCAGTGTAAAAGCACAACACTACAGCAATACTTACCTACACAGTTCAGCGGCATACAGTAAACGTGCTGTTTACCTGTGTACTCCTTTTATAAATGCAACAAACGTACACCGTTATTTTAGTACATTAACATTAGAGTCAAGTTCTGTGAATCTTACTTTAGTTTATTGTCCTTGCAAACCAAGCTTGCTTTCTCATTTTTTAACATTTCCCCATTTCTCTTATGCTGAATCCCTATTTTCAGAATACACAATGGTTACAATGTATTTCATGGCTATTATAGAAATCAGGGAGATCTTAGTATACATACAAAAATAGCCTGAAATCTAAAATACATCATTCATATGTAGCTTATATAAAACCATTTGAGAATGATAAGAAAACACAGTTACACTTTCAACCAACTGGTTCTTTGTGACCAGCTGTTAAATTTTTTTAAATTTAAATACTGATAGTATAGTTTCCCAACGATGCATATTGTACATGCGCATGTATTCACAACCAATAAAAAAAAGCATTTTATATAACACCAATCAATATTTTACAATATCATTATCTGTAGAAAATTCTGTCATCAATAATTTTAGGCAAATTTACCATAATATATGCAATTTGCTGCTACTTTAATCTCACTATACGTAGAAGTCCACAAAACTCGCCTACATCTATAGAAACCTATGTGATCAATATTTTTAGACAAATTCAACATAATATATATTATGCAATTTGCTATTACTTTAATCACTATAGCAGCATTGCATTAGTTGCATTTCTTTTCTGTATCCATGATGCATTCGCATGTGGCAACAACTATCCAGCATAGCCCCACCTTGAAAGCAACACAATCTCCCAACTTCGTCCAAATTTCACGATGGAAGAGAATTAAGCCGGACGGCAGAACCTTCGACCTGTGATCAAAAATTATTGGTGCTAGACAAAAAATCAAGCAACTACAGCCTAGCAGACTCCATAGACTTTTGGGCCGTGCAGCCTTGAATTTGGTTTTCTGTTTATGTTCCTGGCAGTGTATTTCAGGGATCAGATCATTAGGGACAGAAACTGTTGTATCACTTGTTGCAGCTTAAAAAATGCATAAACCAACCACAAAAAAAGTTTAAAAAAAAATATTTGTCATTCACCAGACATGCACCAGGCCAATAAAAAGACAGGACGAAATGCAATTTTTTAATAAAATACACAAAAAACTGAATCTGAACAACACCTTGGCTTGCTCAAATCGTAGCAAGGCTATTTCCATACTTCCTACAATGTTTTAATCATGCTTAGTGCAACACGCATTGCAAGGAACACTGGTGACCTCTGTCCCGGTGTTAAAATGACCGTCTCTGTCACTCTGTGGGAACAAAACAACCAAATGACAAGTTTACTCACGTGTGATGCCAAGGAGGGCTTCTTGCAGGCCAGTCCTAGATGCCTTCACCAACATTCCTCCCCCTTCCTCCTCTGTTCCTCTATCTCATTGATTAAAACGCATACGATGGCTCCTCGTCATCGTCTATCGTACAACTGACGTTCAGCAGTGAGCATACCTTAGCGGAGGAAACAAGCTTTAGTAATAAAAAACGGTGGCATCGGCACTCTCGACTCACACACAGACCTCAGAAACTTTCACAGGGATGCCTAAGTAGGTGTTGTTTCTCAAAGAGCTTATAATTTACTTCGTGTTCGTGTGAGTTATCTTCATGTAACGTTCATAATTTTAGACAAATCTACTTTGCAAGTCAGTCTATGGTTGGTAGGTATGATAGACGTTGAATCTTGTAAACACCATGTGACCCAAGGTTAAATGACTTCGAGAACTTATCATATATTCCTAGAGATGGTTGACCCTTTGAAAATTACTACACGAAAGCTATGATTATACAGCAAATAAGAAAACGTCCATAGCAACTGTACTGGTGGCAGTAGCCACCATATATCTGATACCAAACCACCATTCATATCCATTTGCATATTTACTACTTTTTTGTGACTAGTGTTAAACACGGGCCATGCACTTCCTTACCTATGACATTTACATACCTGCTTGTATTTGGCTCTTATTTTCTCCAAGTCCTCAAAGAAACTGTCGTACTGGAGATCACTGAGAGGAAAGTTGTCAACCATCTCTATTAGATCGCACAAAGCCTTGATCTTTCGTCTGTAAAAGATTGAATTGAGAGCTTTCTAGGTTACCTGCTCTAAAATATGTACACTCACAAGGTAGAGGCAATGTTGGGGCAACACTAAGGCCATAATAAAAATATCGTTTGTTTGCCCTCACCCGACCGACACGGCAAAAATGGGCCGGCTCAAAAAATGTTATTGATCTTTCCCATTTTTTTTTTACAAATGGTATCACTGTACATTATATAAATCTGTAGGCAATACATTATATGTACCAAGCAAAACAAACATTCAACATAAAAGGTATTTCCACACAAGCACACCCAAACATGTAGACACCATGCTGAATTTGTAAAAAGACCCCCCTTAAAAAAGCCTACCTACTAGTACCTACCAAACTTTTCAGCCTGGATCGGGTGAGGGCAAAGAAAGATTTTTTTAATTGCGGCCTAATTACTGGGTGCCTTTTATTTTTTGCCAATTAAGGAATTTGAACAATCTCCCGACCGTTTTCATATTTTCCTGACCATTACAATACTTACTCACACTGCTTGGCCAACATAGTGTTTCTAGTTGGCTAACATGTCCTAAAACACTCATACATCATTAATGTGACTCAAATATGCAAAGACAATTACAAGACAACAGGCGTTATCCATGCAAGCATAGTTCCACTAATTATAGGTTACCCTTAAATGCTACCATATGTTCAGATCACACCGATTTAGGATTTTGGGGATAGTTTATCTATACAGATGTAGTTTAATTGGCTCCATAGAAATTACCATAATATGTATGTAATTACAAATAACAAATATCTTTGGGCATGCTTTGGACAAATAAATATGGGAAAAAAGTATAAATTAAGGGTGGATTTGTTCATGATGTACCTGTGTTTACTCCTGTCCTTTTCATCATCAAATGAAATTGTTTCAAACAGAGTAAGATAAGATATAGCAAATCCATGTATGTATCCAACCTACAACAGAAGAGCAATCATATGTTACTGCGAGAGGTAGAAACTAACTTTTTAATCCTGGAGTCCCAAAAGCATCTAAGGCCTCAAAACAGGATTCCTACGTTTAAGAATAAAAATATACAATACTACACAAATGAATTAATGACTGAATGCAGCTCTTGTATTTAATTCAAGGGTTGCAGCTACATGGACGTTCACCGTTAACTGTTCACATGACACACAGAACAACTTTGTTTACCTTCTTTCCTATTATGATACCCTGTTTCTTCCCAGCCGTGAAGCCATCCCTGTAGCCTTGAGCTAGGCCTTGCTGGTACCCCTCACTGTAACCCACTTGCTGAGACCTGCAAGCAGAACAACATGACATCAAAATACACAGAATTTGTATCGTATCCCCACCGCTAAGGAGCATTTCATTAATAATACTTAATATACGAAAACGTGGTCACCATACAAAACACGATCAATATGTTCATTTATATTTCGGACATGTCTGAGACTTCAACCTTCCATCATATAGTTCTTCGCTAAACTTCAATGTCATGTATTGTACGATGTTGTGTATGTATTGCACAACCTATTTTTGTACATGTATATAGGATATTATGCGAGATATCATGCTAGCATGCACTGAGAATGCTAGAATTTGACTCATGTACTCAGCGTCTCAGGGCTGTCAACATTGGGTGATAGGTGAGAGTGAGATGCAAGGGAGCAAAGCGACCGAGGGGGGGGGAAGGGGGTTTTCCCCCTCCCACGGTAAGGAGCTTTTGCATTTTATAACTTCAATTTGTGCAATTTGGTGCATTCTAAAGTGACTGTTTTCAGATATTGTAAGATTTTTTTTGCTGTGCGTGAGATATTTCAGCGTTTTATTCATGAAGAGATAGATATTCATGCGTGAGATATCTCAGCATTTGTTTGCTGTGCGTGAGATATTGTAAGACAGCGTGAGAGCGTGAGATTTGGTCAAAATGCGTGAGTCTCACGGTCAATGCGTGAGAGTTAGCAGCCCTGGCGTCTCCAACATTGTTCGACACATTCATATACTGACTGTATAGCCATGTGGTTGTGACATGTTGTTACATGATGTTATTATATTAATAATATGACGCAAAAGCGCACGAAAGGCGTACGTAACATCACTTTCATTTCGTGGCATAGCTCTACAGCACAGACTGTCTCTACGCCAAATGCGTACATATTCTTAAGGCAGAGCGAAAAGCTGAACAGCTGTGACGTGAGAATCTAGACACTAACACTAGTAACAGTAACACGTCACTTGTACTTTGTAGTTGTACTGTCACTACTGACACTGTACTGTAGTCTGTACATTGACAGCAACTCTCCTACATACCGGTCTTCTCCTAGCAATATATTGTCAAATATCTCGTTAATATCAGGTGCAGCTGGAGTGGCAGAAATTGCACTGGGTGAAGCCATAGTAATCGCTTGCTCATGGATAATTACACATCTATCACATACCAGATCTAAACCAGAACAAAAAAGAACAATACTATTACCAAACATGCACGATGTTAGTAGTGGCGCCACCTAGTAATATTAATTAGTATCCTTTCTCATTGGCACTAGAGATGCCGCCACAGGTTACTCAAAATGGCACCGTCCATGAGTTACAACGTGTTTGTTGGAGCTGCCACTGGTCTTTTAAAGGGTAGGGTGTACGCGTGAAGCTACGGTTAAAATAGGTAGTTAAACGGGAAGACTGCAGTAAAAATAAACTTTCCTCTTCTCGCAATTTTACCATTTAGTCTACAATGTCCAAACGTGTCTTTGCTTTGGTTCACAGTGACACTGTCACTGACGCTCATACTCATACTTAGTCATAGTCATAGTCATGGTCATAGACATAGGTTCTTACTCTTAAGTTCTTAACCCAACCAGGCTCACGTGTCAACTCGGTACGTGTGGCGAGTTGACGCGTCTGGAGATCGGTGAGCTCGGTTCGTGAGACGAGTTGACGCGTCTGGAGATCGGTGAGCTCGGTTCGTGAGAAGAGTTTACCCTCCTGGAGATCGGGGAGCTCGCCTCGTTGGCTAACTAGTGTACTATTACTAACTGTAATATCTCGCGAACGATTTTAGTTACATTTCTAAAATTCTAGATACATATAAACACATGTCTTAGCTATGGTTTCTGTGAATTTTGAGTATATTAAAGCACATAATATTTTATAAACACATGTCTTAGCTATGGTTTCTGTGAATTTTGAGTTTATTGAAGCACAAATAGTTTAATTAATTACCAGAAATATACGTACGCGCGGTATCGTCATAGGCTAATATACGCCCGGCTATGTGCAGTAGGAAGAAACCATAACTGAGACATGTGTTTATATGTGCTTCATATACTCAAAATTTACAGAAACCATAGCTAAGACATGTGTTTATATGTATCTAGAATTTTAGAAATGTAACTCAAATCGTTTGCGAGATATTAGAGTTGGGGCGTGTGAAACATCTCACGAGTTAGCCGGCGAGGCGAGTTCACCGATCTCTAGGAGGGTCAACTCATCCCACGAACCGAGCTCACCGATCTCCAGACGCGTCAACTCACTCAACTGCGTACCGAGTTGGCAGGTGAACCGAGTGGACCGGACACCGTGTGACTAACGTCAATATACAGCCTGACATCCATCCATTGGAGAATCGTGTACCTCTACAAAAACTACCGAACAATTACGTATATCTCGAATAAAATGATCATCTAAGCATTTCTGCCTTGTTTTGTATCAAGTATAACCTTCACCTTATAGTATTCCAGCGTTGTTATTAAAACTAATACCTCAGTTCGCTGTGCAGCAGGCTTTCAGATTTGAAAAGTACAGGAGGACTACTAATGACTCCCTTAGGACACCATAGGGGGTCTTTTCACGCTCCATAATCACACCCTTAAGAGGCATGATGGAGAGCTCCACTAAAAAACAAAACCCTAAAAGGGATGATGGAGAGCTCCTTGAGGGCTCTCCATCATGCCTCTTGGGGTGTGATGATGGAATCATGACCAATCCTCAGTCTAGAGTGAAATCCAAAACGAAAATTGGGATGTCATGTCAATCTACTGATTATCATTCATATTCATTCAATGGCTTCGTCAGGATTACATTCTTTTCATCCAGCAACCCAACACTAGCACACAGATTATTAAAAGAATTGATCGGATGTAAAAATAAACTTGTTTTAATTATTCTGATTTCCATCCCTAGAGATTCTAATCCATGTACCTGCATATTTCAGCACAAAATATCATCACAATCCATCAACAAACTAGCCAAATTACTTGTACGTAGTAGCCACGTATGTAGCCCCTCCAGCCCTATACGACTGTTTCACGTTGGCAGAAAACCACTTCTCGCCACGTATAGTAGAAAACGAGCAGGTAACTTGTGGCTACCGTATAGGTACCTGTATTTGGATGCTGTTGTTTAGTTGTATTTATATATATATATAAACCAGAGGGTAGTAACCAGACCTGTACCTCTGCCATACGCTCAGTTACTTAAACACCACAAATTGTTGTGTGTTGCTAACCTTTTTGTACCCCCCTACTTTGAGAACTCTATGGAGCGCTATTTCAAGATAATAGACATACTTTTGGTGTGCGATTTCAACCACTTTTATGAGGCGCGATGATGCGCGCACCATGGCACAATTTCGGGTGCGCGGTGGAGCGCGAGCGCGATCGCGATCGCGCCCCTTAAAAATGAAAGCCTGGTGCAGTGTAAATTTCAAGAGCCGAACCAAAATTTCAACCAACCACCAACCGCCATGTTTCCACTGCGCATGCTTTTAGATCGGAACGCGGAAAACCTGAAATGACATAACATACCATAGCGTTGCAACTCGCGTTGGCGCGAGCATAAATAAGGATCATATACTCGTATATATATATAAATATTAAAACATTGAAAACCAGGAAACATCAATCTACAACAACTTAATAATTATCATTGCGAAGATATGTACTTGCATTGTGTTTAGATCTACGCACTGTGAAAATCAGGTCCATTGCCGATTTTAGTCACACCGAACATGCCGGACATGGCGGCTTTCTTGTTGTGTTCATCAAATTAATCTCAGAAAATACGGCATAACTCGATAAATAAGTAGCGCCCAGTTACCGCGAGCAAGCCAGAGGTTTATAGATTCGTTTGAGCTATTACATGTGACGCTAGCTGTGTCGATGTTTGGATACCGAGCCAACTACACGTTTTTATGGGCAAGAATTTGAAACGGTATTCTAACCCTAGCAATACCGTTTTTTGGAGCTAATAGGGTCTATGTCCTCCAGAGTACTGCCCTAACGTACCCTGGGTACGGCCGGTATACCGGACCTTATGGGCGTCACTGACAGACTGTCAGTGATGAGTGAGTTGTTGCACCTTGTTGACAATCTTGATGCACATTAATCATTGGCTGTGCCTTAAATCCCTATATAAATGCAAACAATTACATCACTTCACGATACCTGAACGTTAGTTTTGAAAACAAAAACTAGACATGATGCATAAATATAAAACTGACAGTGTCATTCCTGAACCTCAGTCTCGCTCATCGTCTCTGTCTATGCTGGTTTATTCTGCTATATCTGATAAATATCTTATGTTATGATAAAGAATAACTGAGGAGGTGCTCAGAATGAGGAAAGAACCCCCTTTCCAAAAGTTCCTTATATAAGGTCATGAACTGTTATGCTTTGACCAGCTAATTGGCAAGTCGAGCCACGGACACTTTTTGAAGTCAGTATTGAGTGTTACTATATTAGTATAGAGAAATTAATCAATGTTATGTCCCCTCTTTTGGGCCCACCTTCCACAGTTGATGGCAGCTGAAATAGCTGAATTAAACTATATTTAAACTATGCAATATTGAGTGCATATATGATGTTGTTGTTGTTTTCGGTTTCTTTATTTTATACTGGACTCAAGGGTTTAAATCCACATCAGTAGAACCCACTCCAGGAATCTGGCTCGGTCCAGTTTTGGCAGCTCTCACGCTTGCCATATCCATTCACAATATTTCTGTGGTTATTTTCAAGTATATCTCTGAAGAATAGCTGCATATTCCTATATTTTCAGTGCTGCCTAGACTATATAGTAGCATAGTAGGCTACCCTATCATATACAATACTATAGAATTAGGAAACTGGGTTCAGCGGGTATGAATCAAGTTGGGCAGTCGGAGAACGGCACTTCAGAGTTGCAGTTGTAAATGATGTTTGAAACTCATTCTGCTAGTATTATTTTCTACAACAATCTTGACTTGCTCATTCCATGCCTTAATTTAAATATGCTTTATTTCTTTAGGTGTAAATTTCACACAACAGAAAGTTGATAACCTGAACACTGTGCAGAACCTGGGCAATGCAAAGGAACAAGAGATAGAAGTGATGTGCTGGGGAGATTCTGAACAAAGTCAGGTAATATATCTCACCAACTGCATCATAATTAAATAACTATTTAGGGTCTACCAATTAATTTGATACTGCATTGAATCTTTTAAAATGATGTATGTGTCATTCTCTGCTATTCTCTGTCTTTCTAGATATGCTTTGGATCTAAAAACCGAATGGTCAAGTGTTGGGACAGTGAACATAGAAGTTTCACAAATATTTTGGAAGCCAAAGGTGGCACAGGGGCTATGCGAGGTCTGGCAAAACTGGATAAGTATGTCTATTTATGGAATAATGGAGGTCTTGTTAGCTCACCTTGACATCGTCAAGATGAGCTATTGCTATGGGTCGTCGTCCGTCGTACGTCCGTCCGTCTGTCCTTCTGTCAACATTTGGCTACGGTCAACGATAACTCAGGAACCGTTTGACCCACGTTTGAAATTGGGTATAGTTGTTACTGCTATGGGAGAGGTTTGAACGTCCTATTTTGGAGCACGCCAGTCGACGTACTTTCGAGCCACGGCAATTTTTTGGCAAAAATGGAAATTGCCATTAGTCAGTTCAGGTTCAACGGATTTTGCTCATTTTTGGTATGTGAATGAATAAGGGCTGGTCCCAAAACGTATTACAGGGGTTTTGATATTTTAAAAAAAATTATGCAAATTAGGTAGGTTTTGGCAATTATATAGCATATTATATAGACACTCAGATAACAGTCTGTGGTGTCACACTCGTCTGGTTCGTTTTACAAGATTTCATTGACAATATCTTTAATGCAAAATTGGTATTTCCTCTCCACCCTGCCGATAAAACATCTATATTAGAGTAAAGTTTTACAAAACATGTCGGAACGCAGCATAACCTATTTATTTCGAACGCAGTGCCTAAATCTGAATATTATAAAAACGTTACCATCTTGCTAGGGTTATTTGGGGGGGGGGGGTTGCGATTTTGTAGTACATGTGTTTAATACTAGAAAGTAGTTATTTTATGCTAAGAACAATGAAGGAATGAATTAGAAGTCTAATTAATACCTTTAGTATAGTACCACTAAATACTGTTAAAACTGTGGTGGCTAAACTGCCCCCCCCCCACTCGGTGCACTTGTTCCCATTCACTCATTTGTGCCCTTTTTGTGGTGAGCTACAGTGTCATTGACACTTTCATTTTGTAAGAGGGAATGTCGCAAAGATCATATACGCAAAATTGTCCCAATTCAATAGTATTTCTATCCATCTGTCTGAAATGTGTTATTTTATAATGATTTCGTTTTTATATGTGTATCTGTAGGTATCCTGTATGAAAGGAGATAGTAGACAATTGTAATTTGCTCCAGCTCAAATTATGTCATCCCATTCTTCTTCATTTCAGTAATATCATCACATGTGTAGAATCTGGACAGGTGACAGTATGGGATACTGCTCTTGAGGAAGTAGAAAAGGTGTACTATACAAATCATCATTTATAAAACTAACTGAGACGTTGCCGTGTGTCAGTGATACATACATATTTAATTAGATCTAAGTGTTCTGGTGTCTAATTACTATTTTTCTTCATTTAATCGATACTATGTTACAAAAATATAGTGTATTCTGAATTTGGTATTGTTAGATGATGGGGTTGAACCAATAATCTTTTATATAATGGGAAGTTACAGGAATTAATAGTAGTATAGTTCATCTTCATTGTGTTGCCCCTTGAAGGCGAGTGTGGGAAATGTGCTACAGTTTAGTCTATGTATATTTTGTCTCTGGGTATTGACAATCTCTTTCTTTATATCTATCTCTGTATAGGTGAAATTTGAGGTTGGTGGTGATGTGTGTAAAATGCGCCACAATGCCCACCAGTCAAATCAGATTGCCACTGGCGGAAAGGAGAATGAGCTGAAGATTTGGGACCTAACAAACAGTAGTGTTCCTTTGTTTACCGCCAAAAACGTAAGAGCAATTCCTATCCTGTGAGGGCAGTGGTGGTAGAGTGGATAGCAGACTTGACTTCACGATGTAAGGTCTTGGGTTTAAGTCCCACCGTGGTCACTGCCGGTGTACCCTTGAGCAAGATACTATCCGGGTTCGCATTAGCTGATACCTGCTGTAGAAATAAGTTGATCTCGCTGGGGTTAACACTTAACAACCTCACCCACTTAACAGCGAATATCTTTGCTGGGCAAAGCATGACGCAGCAACCAAAGCAACACAGTTGCAGAGACCGTATGCTTCTTGAGAGTCAAACGGGGAATACGTAGTGCTATACGTAATCAGCATTCTTGACAAAACAGAAACAATCATTTGTTTCCCAGAGGATATATACACTACTACACTGTTATATGTGCTTCTCATTCAGGTTCCACACGACTTTCTTAACTTACGAGTGCCTGTCTGGATCACAGATATGCAGTTTGTACCCGATAGTGAAAAGATTATCACGTGCACAGGCTACCATCAGGTGTGTATCGTATATATTGTGGGTTATATACCTCCGGTTTTTCCACAGGAGTTTTAGAAGACATGTCAGGCAATCGGGCAATTCATCTATTAGAGTCAGTTATGCATGTCGTACGCAGCCTCAGTACACAGATAGTTTGAACAGTTCGGAGACGTATAGATCAAGCTGTTTAAACACAACATGACTGCACTGGGATTGGCAAAAGGAAACACAGTTTAAAATTAAGACATTTCGGAGGATTTATAAATGTTGCAATTTAGCTTCATCTTTAAAGGCATGTCGGATTTGATATGCTTTAAATGCCTGTGGAGAACACTGGACCTTTATTCGTTTTAGTGTGTCACACTTCTTCTCATCTACTCCTGATAATGGTTGTGATTTATTTAATCACAGTTTATTTTATTTATTAATTGATAATAATTTATTGTATTAATAGGTGCGGATGTACGACCCGAGCACGCCACAGAGGAGGCCCGTGATCAATGTAGAATTTGATGAATATCCTATTGTATCCATGTCGCTTACAGCTAATGGAAGGTATGTACTGTGCTTGTATGCGTGCGTGCATGAGTGAGTTGGTGCGTGCGTGCGTGAGTGAGTTAGTGCGTGCGTGCATGCATGGCTTAGGTTGGACAAGCTTGTATTTTTTCATACGTTATTCCTCCCTATTGTTTCTCACTCAGAAAGAAATCTTCTCATCCTCTTTTTAAACAAGGAGAGCGAATATAACCTTGCCTTTGTATAATAATAATAAGTACATAACTAGCAGATGAATGAATCCGCTGCTCCAATACTAATAATAATAGTACATAATCATTAATAAATAATGTATAATTGTTAATAATATATTTACTACCAATGAGCAGTAATAATAATAATAATAATAATGATAAGTGGCTATAATTCCTCTGTAATAATAATATGGGATACCTATAATTGTAGACTAATAATAATAGGTATAATTGTAATAATAATAATCAATAGCAAGTAATAATTAATTAATACATCAATAATAATCATAATTGGTATTAAGTGTATAATGAATAATAATATAATGAATAATAATAAAATAATATAACATAATAATAATGGATTATAATTGTAATAATAATCACATAATGGCAGTCTGTGGATAATAATAATTTTAAATAATGAATAAATAATGGGTATTAATTGTCAATATATATTAATGAGCAGTGAGTAATGAATGCAATAATATAATCTTCAGTTATGAAATAATGGTATAGATATATGTGATAATATAATAATCCCTGCGCAGTATATAACAAGAGCTAAATATATACCTAGAGTAGATACAACGCGGAAAAAACGGGAAAATAGTGCTATTTCACGATCACATTCATTCTACTTTGCGCTGCGAGTCTATATATAATTTCATCGTGGCTTATCTGCATTAAGCCAGAATTCTTTGCTCTCTAAAACAACCGACCAACCGCTTTGTCAATACGATACTCCTAGGCGGAATATCGCTCCTAAACCTCCCTCCCACATGCCAACGCCGCTCGAATCCACTTCTCGTCTCCCCATGCCTTCACTCGCGCGCTATGCGGTTGCTTCGTGGAGAATGTTCTGGTCTTTTCCGCCATAATTTTACATGATAATGATTTTCGGGATTGCAGTCTGTGCAGGGTGGAGGTGACTTTCCGGTGCGCTTGCGGCATCGCCCTATGCCCTTTACTCTCCCATTATCTTTCCTAGCTCACCGCTCAATGCGCCGTCGATGCAATGAGTGGCCGGCGCATCATGTTTTTTTAATTAAGTCTCCTACACGCAGTCTAGTAAGAGTACCAAATTTTGGCGATGTGACGATTCAATTATCAGCGCTCCCAAGCGGTCACGTATAGCTGCACCTCACTGCGAACGTGCGGAAACCGATAGCCGAAATGCTTTAGACGCGTGAGCCAAGGATGGGGCGACAGGTGAAGTGGATTCGAGGCTGGGCGTTTTGCATGGCGCGAGGGCGAGGTTTAGGAGCCCGATATCTCCGCCTTAGGAGTATCGTGATTGACAAGCGGTGTGGTCTTGTTCTTAGCAGAGCCAAGCAATTCTACTTAATGCGGCAATACATGAAATTATTATAGACTCGCAGCGCTAACAGTATGTAATAATTGTGTCACGTGATCAATAGTCTATCTTTCCCGTTTTTCCCACTTGTCACTCTAGGTATTATTAGCTCTTTGATAATAATAATAAATAAAATTAATAACTGGCTATAATTGTAATGAACTAATAATATACTAGAATAATAATAACTAATAATAATATAAGCAGTATACTAATAATAATAATTAGTAATAATAATACATAAGTATTATATTACTTGATTGCTGCTCTTTGGCGCTCTGCCACTCAATGCTCTCATAGTGTTGCTGAGGGAAGGAATAGTGCCCGAGCGGTAGCGAGGGCACTATTCCTTCCCAAAGCAACACTATGAGAGCATAGTGCCCCCAACAGCAGGCATTAATGTTTTTAGTGCATCACATGACTATGCAATCTACTTTTCATGCGTATATACCTTCTTTGTACTCCATAATTTGCCGGTGCATTCGATGTAACAAAACACTCGACACAAACACAATCGCCATTAATTCCAAAATCTTGCGTGGCGCCCAGACGCAGGAGATTCGTGACGTAAACACAATGCGTTATAATAACAATGCGTCGCGCAACCGATAGTGCCCGCTAAGGCGGGCACTATCTCTTCATAATGCCTGCTGCGTTATCCAATGAGATTGCAGCGATTCATCACGTCATGCACTAATAATAATTAATAGTATAATTGTAATAGTAATAGTGACAATCGTCATTGTGGTGAATATGAACCTCAAAAATAATTCGAAACCGTCCCGTTACAGTTCGGTCGTGGTCGGGAATGCACGAGGTAACATGGCGCTCGTGGACCTGCGTCACACTGGTCGCGTTGTCCAGCAGTACAAGGGAGCCATCGCCGGCAGCCTGCGCTGCGTGCACTGCCACCCGACAGAGCCACTGGTTGCATCGTGCGGCCTCGACCGATTCCTGCGCATTCACGACGTGAACACGAAGAAGCTGCTACACAAGGTGAGAGGGACGTCAGCGGGGTGGCGAGGGAGAGATGCGAGGGGGAGAGTGGTGGCTTCCTACTCGCAACGCTCACGCTCAACCTGCTCCGTGACCCATAGTGTTCAGGCCTCTGGCATCATCTTGTGACATGGATCGAGTGTTATTCTGTAAATGTTTTTTTTACGACAACCTGTAGTGGCATTGTACGGCTGATTAGCCACGTTAATTTGTGCATACGTTTGTAATTAATTATTTATTTTTATTTTTATTAATGGTATAATTATTACAGCTACATATCTCGTTTTAGGTCTACCTGAAGTCCAAATTAAACTGCTTGCTATTTAGTAGTGCAGCCGATCGAGATACAGTTGACGAACTAGAACCTTCAGCGATAGGTAAGCTATACTTCTCCAGTAAGCTTTCCTTTGAGATTACATTTATCATTTATAGGTGTAGAGCAGCATTTGAAATAAAGCTTAACTACGACTAGAATTGCAAAAGGAAGTGACAGATAAACAAAACTACTCTAATGGACTATAACAAAAGCTAAAAAAAAGCCGGTAAACTACTTCCACTTCTGACCGTGTTGTCATGGTGACATGTTACTGCCATAGGTGAGGCAAAGCCCGTGACCCAAGCAGAGGTCAGCAATGAGGTCGACGACGATGACCTCTGGGACACAATGCCTGTAATCACCGAGCGACCGCAGGGCATAGATGGAACAGTCGGCCCGACGACGGCCGAGACGAAATGCGCAGCCGCGGCGAAGGGCGGGATAAAGAAGAGAGTCCATCAACGCAGTGATGACAGCTCCGAAAGCAGCAGCGGCGAAGAGCAGGAAGAACTTGTTGCTAGCAAAGCGAAAACGAAGCCACGCAGGAGTGCAGAAAAGAAGAAGAATAAGAAGAAGCTGATTAAGACAAAACCAAAGACGCTTAAAGCTCAAAAGGTTGCATGAGACGTGGGAATCGGAAATCGGAATCTTATGCTGTCTCACTAAATCTTGTATATAATAACTTTTTTGCTATACGTGATGGCATTTCGAATGTATAATATATAATAAAGATTTAAGATTTTGCAAAACTATGCTTTGTTTAGTTGCTTTTACCGATGGTAATATTATTTGAACATCTCTCATAGTTGTAAAGGCAACGTAACCTGTACGAAACAACTACAAATTATCCGAAAACTTGGTGTAATGCATACCCACAGATGTTACAGCAGTTAGAACTTAATTAGTACTCAATAAACAGATAAATTGCCCTAAGATACAACGCATGTCATATATGGTTGTAATCCCCATAAATAGTTTGTCTTAGTAGTTACTGGTGTCTTCCCTATTGAATCTGGCTCATTACTGGAATCAGCAGTGATATCTAGTTAATTTCACCGACAGGTGGTGCTGAGTGCAGGGATACTTGTCTGGATAACAAGAAAACCAACTCACTTCCAAGGAAAATTCCTTGAACTAATGAAATATGAACCTTGCTTAGAATGTTTAAATTAATTAAGTTGTTAAAGAAATCTATTAGTGGGGCAGATATGTAACAAAAATAGGTCGAAATGTTCACATCTGGCAGAAAGTGAAATTTTGCATACAGGGGTATTTTGACATGCTGAGTTCGAAAATTGAATATTACTATCTTGGGTTCTAAATTACCTGTGGCGCTGAAATTTAGTACACAAGGGCATTTCGTCATATGCAGGGTTTAAATAATGAATTAATTTGCAAATGTCTGACAAACCATATTGGCAAGCCATTTAATTCCAATATGCGCCACATGAAGAAAAATTGAACGATTACGATCTTGGGTTCTAAATGGACCTGCGGCCCGCATGAAATTTGGTACACAAGAGCATTTTGGACATGCTGGTTCAATAAACGCCGATTGCATTGCACATGCTCTGTGACAAACACATATGGCAGCATTTTGAATTCCAGTATGGCCGGACATGACGAACATTGAACCATTACTATCTTGGGTTCTAAATGACCTGCCGCGGCGCTGAAATTTGGTACACCAAGCAGCATTTTGCCATGCGCTGAGTTCAATAATGAATTGATTGATATGTCTGACAAACCATAAATGCGCAGCGCATTCTTAAAATTCCAGTATGGCCCGACATGGACGAAATGCTGAAAATCTTAGGTTCTAAATCACGTAAGGCACTGAAACTTGAACTCGCAGGAATTTTTATATGGCTGAGTTCAAGTTGTTTATATTAAGAGCAAAAAGGCCTATTCAAAATATTTTCGCTTACCAATTGAAAGCTGGTAACAATGCCAGCAAAAAGCGTTTTCCATCCATATTTACTATCTCCCTGTTGCTCTCATCTGGCGCAGCATTGACGAACACAAAAACATCAGATTCTGTGCAGTGGTAGATAGCTGGCGAGGAACATTTGGCAATTTCCAGCACACGGCCGTTTCTTACATTTGCCAAACTTGATCAGCTCATCGGCACGCCCTTTGAGGCCTCTGCCATTATTGTTCAACAATGACGCCAGCCATCATCGAGACATTTTTTCGCCCATGCCCATCGCAGGTGAAGGCAGCTCTGGGTTTGCAAATTCTGAGACTGTCCGCGAGATGTGACCAGCCTGAAAGACACGCCCTCTTCATATGATTGACGCCAGTGACTCTCTTGTTGGTGGAATGTCTTTCAATTGCCGATTTCCCTGAGCAAACAAGAAACCTCTCCAATGTTGTTTCATATCATCATTTGTTAGCTTCAGCGCGTGCATGTGAGAGATGATTTGAAGACGTCCTTCAAGTTAGCGCATGGGAATCCATAGTATTCACGGCCGTGAAGCCTTTTGCCAATCCCAGCATATGGCATAAACAGTATCGGCATCCGGAAACATGCGTCAGGAACAAAGGCCGCCATGAGCGTTCAGGGGCCAATGTGAGTCGCAATACGGCGTGAGCAGCAATGATGCACGAAATTGTATTCCATGTCCCAAATGCCAACCCACATTGCACAGTCGTCCATAACGCNGCCTGATAAAGTGCTAGCCTTACAGTGCGATCCGTGGAGGCACTGGCCAAACACCGAATATGACAGATTTGTGGATGTCAAGCACATACAGGTCTTTACTGTCTTCCGCGAACGGGTTTCCCAGTTTTTCAAATAAACTGATTGTATTATTGAGATCTGATGCAAACGATTTCTGGACACTAAAAAATTGTTCGTGGTGGCGGACATCAGTTTGCCACTGTCTTTGAAACTGATCCTCAAACTCACTCAGGATTCTGGCTATTTCTGCACCAGCCACCATCCACCGGCGAAGAGCCCCTTCATTCTCGGTAATTCCAATGACTCCACCATCACCTTTTACTGACTCACGAGTCACGACACACGTTTTGCTGTTCGTGTATCTGATCGTGTGCCAAAGCAGAGAACTTGTGTGATGACTTCTGAGTGACAAAGTTCCCCTTGACAAATTCACGATGGATATCCACGGAATCGTTTGGAATCGCGCGCGTGCGTACCATATGTGTCTGTGCGCGCGCGTGTGCGCACATGTGTGTGTGTGCGCACGCGTGCGTACTGTATGTGTGTGCGCGCTTGCGTACTGTATGTGTGTGTGTGTGTGTGTGTGTGTGCGTGTGTGCGTGTATGTGTGTGTGCGCGCGCGTGTGTGTGCGTGTGTGTGCGCGCGTGTGTGTAGTAGATAGTATTGTTCAACATTTCGTCATGTTGGCCATACTGGAATTTAAGATGGCTGCCATATGGTTTGACAGACATGTCAAATCAATCCATTATTGAAGTCAGCATGTCAAAATGCTCTTGTGTACCAAATTTCAGCACCGCAAGTCATTTAGAACCCAAGATAGTAATGTTCAATGTTTCGTCATGGTGGCCATATTGGAATTCAAAATGCCTGCCATATGGTTTGTCAGACATTTCAAATCAATCCATTATTGAAGTCAGTATGTCAAAATGCTCTTGTGTACCAAATTTCAGCGCCGCAAGTCATTTAGAACCCAAGATAGTAATGTTCAATGTTTCGTCATGGTGGCCATATTGGAATTTAAAATGGCTGCCATATGGTTTGTCAGACATTTCAAATCAATCCATTATTGAAGTCAGCATGTCAAAATGCTCTTGTGTACCAAATTTCAGCGCCGCAGGTCATTTAGAACCCAATATAGTAATGTTCAATGTTTCGTCATGGTGGCCATATTGGAATTCNACGGTCTTGCAGCATTACCCCCAGTCTGAAATTACCCCCTGCAAATTATATCTGTGTCGCCCATAGGTGGGGTAAAATTCAGACTGGGGTAATCTCAGCACCGGCGCTGTCACGCGTCTTGAGGATTACCCCCAGTCTAGAAATTTATCCCCTGCCCAAATTATATCCTGTGTGCCCATAGGTGGCGTAAATTCACGATGGGTAATCTCAGACCGGCTGTCACGATCGGAGCATTACCCTCCAGTCTTGAAATTACCCCATGTAAATTATATGTCCTGTGTGCCCATAGGTGCGGTAAATTCAGACTGGGTAATCTTCAGACCGGTCTGGCAATTGTTCGCGCACAGTATATCGTACCCGGCTGCTGCACAGTAGGACAGGTTAGGAGGAAGAGGAAGTGGTAGAGCCGAGGAGGCGAGAGGAGGAGGAGCGGGAGAAGCGTGATGGGAAGGAGCGAGGAAGGGAGGAGAGAGAAGGTGACTGGAGGAGGGAGGAGGGGAAGGTGATGGAGGAGCGAGGAGAGGCAGCGAACGGTGAAGAATGGAGGAGGGAGGAGTGAGGAGGAGCGAGAGAGAAGTGATGGAGGAAGGGGAGGAGGAGAAGGAGGCGAGAAGGTGATGGAGGGGAGGAGGAGGAGGAGGCAGGAGGAGGGGAGGCAGGAGGCGAAGAAGGTGATGGAGGTGAGGAGAGGGGAGGAGGCAGGAGGAGGAGGAGGGAGGAGGAGGAGGAGGAGAGAAGGTTGATGGAGTAGTGGCGGAGGAGGAGGGGCAATGAAGATGAATAGGATGGCAGGGAGGCGGAAGGAGGAGGAGGGGAGAAGTGATGGAGTAGGGGGAAGATGAGCAGAGAAGGTGATGGAGGACGGGAGGAGGAGGAGGAGAGAGGGAAGTGAATGGAGGAGGATGGAAGAGGAGAGACAGGTGATGAGTAGTAGGGGGAGGAGGAGGAGGAGAGAAGGTGATGAGTAGGGGGAGGTGAGGAGGAGGGAGGACGGAGGTGAGAGAAGGAGAAAGGGAGCAAGGTGCATGGAGGAGGCGAGGAAGACGGAGCAGAGGTGATGAGTTAGGGTGAAAGGAGGAGCTAGCGAAGGAGAGGAGGAGGGAGAAGCGGATTGGAGGAGGAGGAGGAGGGGAGAAGGTGCATGGGAGAGGAAGGAGTAGGGCCCAGGAGAGGAGGAGCGGGAGAAGGTGCATGGAGTAGGGAGCAAGGCAGGGGGAGAAGCTGGTTAGCAGGAAGAAGGGGGAGAAGGAGGGAAGCGTACGACGCACTTCCTTCCTTCTCCTCCTGTCTCCACCGCTTCTCCCTTCTCCCCCTCCTCCTCCACCACTTCCTTCTCCCCCTCCTTCTCCCCTTCCCTTCTCCACCAGCTTCTCCCCCTCCTCCTCCACAGCTCTTCTCTCATCCTCCTTCTCCATCCACCTTTCTCTTCTTCTCCCCTTCCTCTCTTCTCCACCTAGCTTCTCCCTTCTACCTCCACAAACCTTCTTCCCTTCTCTCCCTCCTCCACCAGCTCCCTTCTCCCCTTCTCCATTCTCCACCAGCTTCTCCCCCTCCTCCTTCTCCACCAGCTTCTCCCATCCCTCCTTCTCACCACCTTTCTCTTTCTCCCCTTCCTCCTTCTTCACCAGCTTCTTCCCCTCCTCCTTCTCCCTTCTCCCCCTCCTCCTCCACCAGCTCCCTTCTCCCACTCCTTCTCCCCTTCTCCCTTCTTCACCCCTCCCTCCTCCACAGCTCCCTTCTCACCCCTCCTTCTCTCCCTTCCTCCTTCTCCACCAGCTTCTCCCCTTCTTCTTCCTCCACCAGCTTCTCCCTCCTCCTACACACCTTCTCCCTTCTCCCCTCCTCCTCCACCAGCTTTCCCTCCTCCTTCTCCACCACCAT